ACACAGATGGTCCACCATAGCTCGGTATCTTCCGGGAAGAACAGACAATGAAATAAAAAACTATTGGAGAACCCATTTCAAGCCAAGAGGCAAGCGTTCTGAAAAGAAGAAAATTTTTAGCCAAAAAGAACAAAATGGTGGGAACTCCGTTCAAGCAGATCCCATGAGTGATGTAAATATATTTGATACACTAAGCAATAAGCAAGAGACAGTAATCCCATATCCAATAGTGGATAACCCGTTCCAGCCTATGATGTATCAAGATATTACATCATGTTTAGATATTATTGCTATTGATGAATATCTGTGGGGAGGCTTGTGGAACCTCGATATATGAATTGCGTTACTATTACTATTACTATGATTGCTGTACGCCTTTTAAGCACACTGACGTATATGGTGGAAGATGATGAATTTGAATTACAGATCTCGTTGCATTTGAAGAATAATGTTATACATCATTAGTTGTGATCATGAGGTGGTAGTGAACCCTATAATTCATTATACAATGTGATTTGACAATGAATTATGTGGGCCATTGTCACTTGATATTTGAATGATCTCGCCGGAGTAGTTTTATTTTAATTTGTATGGATATAATTTGATTATTGGTCAAGTAAAAGAACAATAAGATGTTGCATAAGTTGCCAAAAAAAAAAAAATTTAATTCAGAACTTTTCAATTGTTTTTCTACCAGAAAATGTATAACTTTTTAAATTATCTAGGGAGACAACCACATGTTACTTATCCTTTCAAAGACAACAAAATTTCTCCATGATTTTGAGTTCAAAGAAATACGTTGATGACACTGAGAATGGGCAACTAAGTTTACTTCAATGGGTTTGATGCAGTTATGTAAGCTCAAAAGAATATTTATCCAAGCATTAACTGTGGATCATAAAGTATTATATATATCTTATAATTGATTTAAAGTTATATAAAAGAAGAATTTGAAGAAAAAATCAATATATTCATGATAAATCCCGAATAATAATTTTTCTTTCGAAATAAAGAAGTCGTGAAAACAATTAAGTATGTTAATATGATAATATGTTGATTTTTAAATAACATAGATAAAATGACGGCTAAAAAAGTAACTATTTTGGAACGTTGTCTGCAATCACAAAAAAAAAAAAAAATGTAATTACAAGTTGTAAATTATTTCTCTCTAGTATATATAAATAACCACTTATTAAACTAAGAATTCCTTCACAAAATTCATCCTCAACCAAAAAATTGAACTTGAGATCAGGTTAAGAGGAGTAATTGATCAACGTGTACAAGTATTTCAGCAAACCGATAAATACATTATATATTTACCATCTACTTTAAGATAAACGAGTTTATATATATAAAAAAAAGGTTATTATCAAAATTATCAAGAAAATCTAGAAAATATATTAGTTACATTTTACATGTAGTCATGTATTTACTAGGTAACAAAATAAAGAAAAATTATTTTTGCACCTTACATTTTCCCTTATGCCTTCCATGAACTAAAATTCATCAAAAGAACATGGTTGTATAATTTCTGATGGTACGAAAAATTCACTGAAAATTTTGAAGAACTAAAACTGCAATTTGAAGTTGCATCTTGACGTGAAGAACAAGAACGTGGTTCTTATTCCGACTTGGAGAGCAATTTAAGTGAAAATCAAGGTTGCATACTTGGTTCTACTCGTCAACAAATAAAACGGACCAACATGATGGAAGTTTTAGTTCCTTTTGATGTTTGCTGTGTTTTGTTTTTGGTTTTACGGTTAGGATTCCTAGTTGCGTTCTAGAAATCATTATAACTAAAAATCTGTGACAATTGTATCTTTCTATAGTGAATCATTTTACTTGTGGCATGGGGTTGTGGATGTGTCCTTTATGGGTTTATCACGTCATATTGTGTGTTCACTGTTTAGACCCCGTTTGGAACATATTATTTCAAAATACATTATTTCAAAACTCATTTTCAATAGCACATTTTTCAATAAAATAATATTTTCCATCACATCAATAACTTTTCCTGATTTTTTAACTACATATTTCCCATCATATCACTATTTAAAATATATTCTTTTCTCAATAATATCCATTAAACACACTCTTAATATTCTTTACTGCGACATTTTTACTAAGTTGGTAGTTAATCGGCAGCTAGAACCATTACTATTAATTATGTACAATTAGTGAATACAGACCGGTAAAATAGAACTCACTCTTCTCTTATATATATCTCTCACTCAAATTATCATTTCACTATTTTTCCAACTGTTAAGCTAATCTCATACTCAATAACACTGATAGGTTGTGACTGAAATTTCATATGATTTGGAAGTTTGATTCATGGAAGAAGTCTAGATAATTTTGGTTTGGAAGTCCGGATTGATAATAAATCAAATTTCATCATGAATTGAGAGTTTGATTGGAAACATGACTTTGAAATAGATGAAAAAGTGTTTTGGAAGCATTAAGTTTGAAACAGGGCGCTTTGGCGCCGGGTTACACCATGGAGTCGGACGGAGAAAATCAGGGAGCCGGCGCTGCAACGCGGGCTCTGGTTCTTGGGCGCCACTGGTACAAGAAGAATCCCACTCCTAGTTGATTTCGACCGCGGTTTTTGTGTTATACTTCAGCTATAACTCCAAGGTTTGGCTCCTATATATACTTCACGTGGTTTATGCTCTTCAAGACTCAAAATAGCATTTAGATCATTGTTGTATACATTATAAACTTAAGAGAATTATTTAAATTTAGATTGAGAGCATCAAATCTTGTAAAATAATTTTAGTTTCTTAGTACAATAAATTCTCACATCTTCCATATAAATCTTGTATCCTTGTGTGAGCCATTATTTTCATATTGCTCATATAAATGTTGTATTCTTGTACAAGAAATTCTCACATCTTGTTTCTTTTTAAAGTTAAGTGTCATTTTTTTATTAAAAAATGACATACAATGTCACTTTTATTAAAAAAAAAATGATGTTTGTCACTCAAAAAAGTGATAGAACTTTCAAAGAATTGACAAAAAAGGTAACAAACATTAAAAAAATGATAAAAATTTAATAAAAAGTGATGAACACTAAAAAAAAGTGACATATATTCAAAAAAGTGACAAATTGACAATTTTCATGGTGGTGTAACACAATTGAGTTATTATTTGCCCGGTTGAGCCATGATAGAATACCTTGTCACTTTTCTAAAGTTCAAGTTAAACATCTCTGTAACACTTCCAAAACATCACACTTTCTTCATGAACTTCAACAGATTTATTGGTGAAAATAAATATAAAAAAGTGACGTAAACTAAAAAAAAAAAGTGACATAAACTTTAAAAAAAGGTCGTAGTATTTGTGTGAAAAACAAAAGATTTTTGAGGTTTTTTTTTCAGTGAGATACTTATTTAAAAACCTCTTTCATTTAGAACCCTCTCATGCCAATTTAAAAAAAGTGACATAAACTTAAAAAAGTGACACGAGTTCACATTGTAATTTGACAAAAACATTGTGCTTTACAAGTAACTACTCTATGACAACTGTTTCACAAAGAGCAACATAATGCATTGATGTTTAACCTTCATTGTCCTTTAGACAGTTATCAGACAACATTACGCGCACAACTGCCAACCCACCTCATTCTGATGCCCTTACTACATTAGGTGCAGGATAAATCTTTAAAGGCGATACAAGATTCAGAATCCAAATGCAAAAACTCGTATACCACACATAACTAAAGGTTAAATGTTACGGAGCAACCACGATGAAGGAAACAAGAATTAAGTAGATTTTCTTTGGCTGCCAAATCAATTGCATCAGGACAATACAGAAGATAAAGTGAAGAAAACCAACATATACATAATATTCCTCTTTCCGGACATTCTACAAACACCATCGATATACTTATTATTTTACCTAATTAATTCGTGATCACGAATTCTCTTAGGCTGCAATTGCATCAGGAGAATACAGAAGGCAAAGAAAATAACGTTAACATATACACAGTATTCTTCTTCGAGGACATTCTACCAACATGATGGATACACTGAATCTTTTTCCCAATAAATTTGTGAATATGAATTCTTTTTCTTTAGATTATGTGCTTTTCAACCTTGATTCAGGAATGATTGACCCTAACACAAAGTTACATTATGACAACATGTTATATGCACAAGTAGATGTTGTAATATTTGCCATGTCTAAAATGGGGTATGAAGGGATAGAAGTGATGGTATGAAGGGATAGAAGTGATGGTATCAAAAACGGGTTGGCCGTCAAAAGATGATTACGATGAAAACGGAGCAACTGCTGAGAATGCAGCAATATATAATCGGAATTTGTTTAGAAGGCAACTAGAAAAGGGACACCTTTTAATAAAAAGTGACATTATTCCAATATCTTAATGCAAAGCTCATAGGCGTCCTCCAACCTCTTGAATCTTCCCTTTACAAAGCCCCTGGGTCAAAACCCCATTACTAAATGCATTTGGAATGATTCCATTACTCTGCATTTTCTTAAAAATTCTCACTGCATCTTCAAGATTCTGTGCCTTGAAAAAGCCTTCCACTACAGTAATGTAGACAACCACTTTCGAAATACTACTCTTCTCACGCATTAACCCAAAAAGCTTCATTGTCTCTTGCACCAACCCATCTTTACATAAGCCATCAAGCATCGCCACGGTATTTAGGATCAACCCAATCAAACCCAAGCTTGAATAATGCCAGAAAATCATCCACTTCGCTCATCACCTAACTAGATTTTCCATTTTCCCTAAAACAAATGAAATTTGGGAATCTGGCATTTTGGGAAAGGTAGGATTGCCTTTTTCTCGACTCGGCCCTCAAGGACAATTTTTTTTTTTCAATTTCTGAAGTTTCAAGGTATCATAATAATCCAACACCGCATGGTTGCTCAAAACACCATCCGGATCTCCTCTCCACTTCGTCATACGATCTTTGAGTGTGTCATTACACACCGCTAGAATGGTGATGGTTTTCCATCTGTTGATGTCAGTGGAGGAAGCATTTTTTGGTTAAAAGATTGTTAGAATTGTTGAATTTTGGGAATCTTCCGAGGAGCCTGGTAATGTTGAAGGCTGTGACGGTCGAGATAAAGATGAAGCAGTAGAGAAATATTAGAGTGACAGAGACTTGGGAAGAAATCATCTTTTATAACGTATTAATTACGTTTTAAAAGGATTTAATTAATTAAAAGAGTATAAATCAAATTGGTTATTTTTTTAAGGTACTGGGCCTAATTTGCCCTAACTAAATTCCCTAACAGAAGCATTACAATAGAACCTTAATCATATTTTGAATTATCTTGTCCAGTAGCTTCAAGTCGATATAGTTATTTAGTCAAAACGTATTATGTCTTGAAGATCGAATTCAATTTTCATTACAAGCCCGTCAAACGGTGGTGACCATCATTGAACTAAAGCATAATCTTAACTGAGTAAGACTAATTTAGTGGGGGTTGGTGTGTGTCTCTTGGAAAATGGCTTATTCTCCAAATTCCAATTATCATGTAACTGTTAGTTTGATGCCCTCTTATAGTAAGTATATTGTAACGACATTATAAATTAACGTTTTATTATTCATGTGTTATAATTTGCGACAATAATCTAAGTTTCCATGATCATATGAAATAACAAATTGTATACTTGACAGTTTGGGTATAGTGAGACACAATTCATTATATGATCAAAATATGTCGTTCACAATCGATACATGAAGTGGACGCTTTATGTTGATAAGATT